ATTGGAATAATCTTGAATGTTTAAGTTGATTTCCATTTTAAATCGCAATAACGGTCATCTCAGCACTACACAACACAGATAATAAGCTATTCAATTCAACTGACTAGTAATAGATACGACACGTATTGCAAGCCGAAGAAATTTTTATATACAACATGACAACGAACGAGGAAGAACAGGTGTACAACTAATGATTTCATTCACACCAGTCAATACATAACTTGTATAACCTTATCTGTCGACAACTGGGATGGTTGCCTTCATTAATGTGTGAAGTGGTATGTAGGAATAATTACTGTAGACAGGGTCTCGTAAACAAGATCTGATTGTGTAATTTTCATTGTTTGATAAAATTATTTATCTTTTAATGTCAGTTTTGCCCTTTTCATACAATATATAAAAGACATAAGGTAAAAAAAATGAAAACGATACACAGCTTATAAAATGCCAAGCTCAATTATTATGATCGGCCATAAACGTCTACTGGTGTTTTACAAAGGAAATTTCGTTTTTTGTCACAGTATCATACAAGCTGCCAAGCTCAATTATTATGATCGGCCATAAACGTCTACTGGTGTTTTACAAAGGAAATTTCGTTTTTTGTCACAGTTTCATACATTGTAACACACGTTTCATTGATACGGACAGATGCGAATTCAAATCAACGGCCAAAACACCGATAATACTTGAATAATATGTTATAACGGATGCACCGAATTGATTTACTTATTATTACAATAGAAAAAATATTCATAACAGAATGATTTTATTTGAAATTGTTCATGTGAATCATCAAATTAAGTGAACATTTCTTATCTATTTACACTACTGTGTCCTTTACAAATTCTTTACAATTTATTTTTCTATTTGAAAATATGTATCTTTATATATTAGACGTCTTTGCTAACATGAACAAGGGTATGGGTACTTATAAGTGAAGTTAATGTATGGCTATACTGTAACTTTTCATTTGTATTTAAAGGTGTTTCACTTATGTGTCTTTTGTATAATCTTTAAATAGATGATGTCATCGTTCAGTATTTTTCCAGATTAATTCATTTCTCAATAATGTTTTAACAGATAACTTCATTATCCAATATATATTACAAGCATTGTTCAAAACATTTCACACGTGAATTCGTTATTCTGTTATTGCTTGTTACTCCGTTCTTCGATAGACTTGATAGCTGATTTCATTGTCCTATAGAGATAATAAGTGATTGCATTGTCTTTATAAGTGACTTTATTAAATAATTTTACAATTTATTTCAATATTCAATATTTTTTACAAGTGACTTTATCGTTCAGTAGATATTACAAATGATTGTATTATTCAATGTTTTTTTACAGGTGACTTCACTGTTCAATCTGTTTTATTTGGCTTAGTTGATCGATAGATTTACCAGTGAGTTCGTGTTTTAATACTTTGTACAGGTGACTAATTTTCTCCATAGTTTTTTTTACATATTATTTCATTATTAAATAGTTTATACACGTGGCTTCATCGTTCAATGATTTTCACAGAAAATCTACATAGAGAACATTACGTAGACGAACACCAGTACTGAGGAGACATTTGTTGGTTCACTAAGTTAAACGTTAGCAATTGAATAGCTGTTTTGAAAACATATCCTACCATTATACCATCAATTATAGAAAATACCATTCTCGGTGATTGACCTGCATTGTTCATGTATGATGTGTTTTGCTTTGCACATGATTAAATCTATTAAGTATGTACTATTTTCATTGGATTATATACGCAATTACCAGTTTGTTTAGATAACCTCTGCACACGAACATTTATAGTATACAATATTTAAATTGTATACAACGAAGGTTTGACTTGGATCGACCAAGATTTACATGGCGAGCGACGTCGATGAAACAGAAGACACTTATTCTACCATGGTTTTCGGTTACTATTTCAGTGGTCTGTGTGTATTTAATATCAATAGGAGATATAGAAAGATAGAAAGATCTGCGGTGTTGACATATTGAAGGTTCGACATCATAGACCCTCTTCAATGTCCTCATTTCTAGGAAATATTTCGACATCTGACATATCAGTAATTAAACGCGGGTTTCGAGTGATGCAGTTGGTAGCTAACATGATCTTTTTGCGAAATATTATTTGATCTGAAGTGATACGAAGTTTTACGTGTTCAGTTTTCACTAGTAGACCTAGTAGTTTCGTGGTTATAAACATGGTTTTATTTGAGAACATGACATCATTGTCTTGGGTTGATTAACGTGACTGGTGTCAATGAGGAACAGCATTCTGGTCTTTCAGGGATCAGATAAATCTTTCTGTTGCTCTTCTGTTATCCTCGTATTTATATGAGTTAATATATAAGATTTGTAATGTGATATATTTCTCTGTATTGTCAATATTTGTTCAATTGCCAGAATCAATACCAATCTCAGTTAACAGCCCGAAATATATATCGCATTTTGTCAACGTAATCAGTTGTCATTGTATTGAAGTCAGCGACAGCAGGTGTCAGATTGTATTTAACTTGTCTCGTGGTCGTTTAACCCAGTCGTCGTTTCCTTGTCTAGTCCCCTTTCTGCAGAAAGGCAGCTGTTACGAGCGATATCCCAGGTAAACATGTGTCAATGTCAGACATACAAACAACTGTCCAAATCCCCATTCTGTTTTTGTGTTTAACCTTCACAGAGTCAATGTTGTCGGGGTCACTCTACTGTTTCGTTGGGTTTTATTGCAAAACTTGCAAACATCATTTTGCTTTGAAAATTTTGCTCTGATTTTATCAATGTTTGTGCTGTTAACTTTTATAAATTGACTATTGTGGATACACAAATTCTTCCTTGCTCTAAATTACCAAATAGAAAAATTGCGTAACATTGAGCCTGACTAAATGCGTTTGTAAGATTTATTTCTAAAATGTATGGTATCAGATAATGAGTAGCAAAGTTACTTTACATTTACATAATGTCTTTTACAAGAAAACAGACTAAACTATTCATCAAATCATTCATAGAACGCTACAGTGATTTATCAGGGGATACAACTAGCTCCCGGAAGTGATCATGTCAGTAATAAAGTTGTCGTCATGGCAACTGTTTTGATAAAAGCTTTAGATTTCGATCAATTGAAGATAAAGTATCATCGCTTATTTCTTATCGCTAAAAATCGCTGTGCGCACGACACAATACATTAAAACTGGACATATCATTTAGATACAAAAGTCTGCAGTTTCTTGACGTTATCAGTTGACGTCACCGAAAAATTGTTATCAATTTCATTAGTATTCATATTCATAAAGAGTTACTATGTATGAAAAAAAAACAAGAACATACAAGTTATCAACATACTCTATATTTTTACAGTTCAAAGTTTTTCGCGATTTTCTTTCAGAATGACAAAATAATATTTTAACGGTGTAGATGATAACTTATACACACGTGTCATATTATTTCAGGGATTGAATTTTCGCGATCACGTTACTGTACCGCGAAAAGGTGAAAATATCCTGCGAAAATAATCGTTTACGCGGTAATCATAATCCAAACTCATATAAAATAAAACACAGACAAAATACGAACAAATGAAATATTTGCATGGAGAGTCCTTAAAACGTACAAGGAAAATAAGTGTTCCGGAAAAGTGTCTTCTAGTTCATCGACAACGCCCGCCATGTGAATCTTGATCAAAGTCATGTTCAATGAGAACAAGGTTTACAAACTTAGAACCCACAGGCAAGCTAAGGAGCATGAAACACGTCCAGATTCATACCGACCAAAGAAATCGAATATTTCTCAATTACATCACGATCGTTAAACTCCACATAATTTTCTTCTACATGGAAATATTTTGAACTTTAATGCCATTAAAATCCCAACACAATACACGTCAACCGCACTAGTCTTTAATTTTGATATTAGTATCGAATGTTTTTGAAGTCATGAATTTAGAGTTATGTATACGCGGTGCATCTGGTGTGATGACTAGTGCGACACCTGAATAGTTAGTACTTCATCACGCCGAATCGTATTTCAACAGATAAATGATTGTCCTACACCGAACAACTTCCACTAAAACCAACACTGTGAATAGCTTTACACCGAAGGCATGTTTAAACTATTGATATGTTTAAGATTACATCTAGATAAGTTTTTAGTATAATACTTTAAAAGCATATTTTGATGACTTGCGTTTATGAAATGACCTGTCATCTTATCAGTATGCTGCAGTTTCACCGACTGCCGTGCACTTCAGTGTTTTTTTATTTATCAATTATCTGACAACACATCACATACGGCATCCTGATACAGGTACACTGCATATATAACCATGTAGAAATGTTACGGTAATCACACAGGAAAACTGAAGGTAGAGATACAATCAATCGACATTAGGACGAGCGAAAATAAGACCGATACATAGGAGAGATATCGCAAAGAGGGATGTAATAGAATATCTGTGATTTGGTGTTATCTGTGGCCTCGGAGAACAATGGATTGATTGATTGTATGAACAGATAACGCCTTTGTATTTGATATAAGTGGTATGTATATCAGTACGATGTATTTTTCTCTTTTTTTGTTTGTTTGTTTCATATATATTATAGCCGTGATAGTGCAAATATAATATCTAAATGTGAAACATTAGTACGTGTAGATCAAGTTTATACCAGTTAGGGAAATATATCGTTCTCTAGGCGGGTCATCATATGTATCTCATAATCGTAATGGTGAAAGCGCTGTATGTGCCTACAATTCCTTGAAGCAAAAATAACTTTATTTCGGTACATAATTTCAGACAACAATAATGGCTGAATACAAATCTATATGTTTAAAAACATTTTTAAACTAAGCGAGGCTTTTCATGCAAAAACAACCGTGTGTAAGATTTAATATATCACGTTTAGGACTGGTCAGAACAGGTTTGGTGGTGTCGACAGTGTTTGTGTGTCGACATCATTATTAAAGAACATGTACCAAAACACAAGATTGTAAATATATGATGAACTTACCAGCCGTATCCCAGATATCCAGTTTGACGACCTTGCTCTCTGTAGATATGAAGGTAGTAGCTTTACTAGCGTATCCCGTCCTAGATGGAAAACCTTTGGACGAGCTGGAGAACTGACTAGATTTAGATAAATCATCCTGGTCCTCTCTGTTTACAAATGTGTTCACTAGTAAAGTCTTACCCACGCTTAAATCTCCGACCACTACAACTTTACATTTAATAGTTCGTTCAGAAACCCGCTCCGTTGCCATTGCGGTAGGATGAAAACTTTCTCATTTTCATTTAACACCTGAATTTGTTTATCATGTGCGATAACAATTGAATTCCTGTCACGTGATCAAGTTGACGTCTCGATCAAACAATTGATCCCGCCGCCGTGGTGAAGTCCGGTACAATTTAACTTGGCAATATATGTAATTAGCTAGGGATGTTTAAACGGTTTAGGGAAAGAAATAATTTGTTAATACAATTCTGATCACACACTGTATGCGCGATCAAACAAGGTCCGATAACAAACGAGGAAATTAAAGCTATATAAAAGGGAACGCGTTAAATCATGGCTACCCATGTTGAGCTTGTGAGAATGATCTGATTGACAGTATTTTTGTTGAATTTGGTGGTAAGACCTTCCAGCAGACAGTTTGGAACAAACTGTACCCTTCTCTTGTCTGGTTAAATTTTATGTTTGTCTATACGAGACTGAATTTATCTTGAAATAAAGACCCCGCCTAATCCTGTAATTTTAATTCAAGATGTAATTATGATGTTTGTAAATATCCAGAATGCATTAATCATGTACATATAGTAAGTACATATAGCAATTGGGTATAAAAGACATTATTTTATAATTTTTTTTTAACTTTCAACCTGCAAGCTCAAGATCTCATTCAATGAAATAATTATATTAGAAGCTTTTGGGAGAGGTTAATATAGATATGATGTGTGAGATAAAATGTGTGAAGTTTATTATGTGGGAGAGGTTAGAATATGATGTGTGAGATAAAGGGAGAGGTTAGGATATGATGTGTGAGATAAAGTATGATGTGAGTTTATGTCGATAGAGGTTAGAATATGATATGTGAGATAAAGTGTGTAGTGAGTTTATGTCGATAGAGGTTAGAATATGATATGTGAGGTAAAGTGTGTAGTGAGTTTATGTCGGGAGAGGTTAGGATATGATGTGTGAGATAAAGTGTTTATTTATGGAGAGAGGTTAGAATATGATGTGTGAGATAAAGTTTGTAGTTAGTTTATGTCGGGAGAGGTTAGGATATGATGTGTGAGATAAAGTGTGTAGTTAGTTTATGTCGGGAGAGGTTAGGATATGATGTGTGAGATAAAGTGTGTAGTGAGTTTATGTCGGGAGAGGTTAGGATATGATGTGTGAGATAAAGTGTGTAGTGAGTTTATGTCGGGAGAGGTTAGGATATGATGTGTGAGATAAAGTGTGTAGTGAGTTTATGTCGGGAGAGGTTAGGATATGATGTGTGAGATAAAGTTTGTAGTGAGTTTATGTCGGGAGAGGTTAGGATATGATGTGTGAGATAAAGTGTGTAGTGAGTTTATGTCGGGAGAGGTTAGGATATGATGTGTGAGATAAAGTGTGTAGTGAGTTTATGTCGGGAGAGGTTAGAATATGATATGTTAAGTGTGTAGTGAGTTTATGTCGGGAGAGGTTAGAGAAAGTGTGTGTAGTGAGTTTATGTCGGGAGAGGTGAGGATATGATCTGTGAGATAAAGTGTGTAGTGAGTTTATGTCGGGAGAGGTTAGGATATGATGTGTGAGCTAAAGTTTGTAGTGAGTTTATGTCGGGTGAGGTTAGGATATGATGTGTGAGATAAAGTTTGTAGTTAGTTTATGTCGGGAGAGGTTAGGATATGATGTGTGAGATAAAGTGTGTAGTGAGTTTATGTCGGGAGAGGTTAGGATATGATGTGTGAGATAAAGTTTGTAGTGAGTTTATGTCGGGAGAGGTTAGGATATGATGTGTGAGATAAAGTTTGTAGTGAGTTTATGTCGGGAGAGGTTAGGATATGATGTGTGAGATAAAGTTTAGTGAGTTTATGTCGGGAGAGGTTAGGATATGATGTGTGAGATAAAGTGAGTTTTATGTCGGGAGAGGTTAGAGAGGTTAATATGTTAGGATATGACGTGTGAGATAAAGTTTGTAGTGAGTTTATGTGAGATAAAGTAAAGTTGTAGTGAGTTTATGTAGAGGTTAGTGTGTAGTGAGTTTATGTCGGGAGAGGTTAGAATATGATGTGTGAGATAAAGTTTGTAGTGAGTTTATGTCGGGAGAGGTTAGGATATGATGTGTGAGATAAAGTTTGTAGTGAGTTTATGTCGGGAGAGGTTAGGATATGATGTGTGAGATAAAGTTTGTAGTGAGTTTATGTCGGGAGAGGTTAGGATATGATATGTGAGGTAAAGTGTGTAGTGAGTTTATGTCGGGAGAGGTTAGAATATGATGTGTGAGATAAAGTTTGTAGTGAGTTTATGTCGGGAGAGGTTAGGATATGATGTGTGAGATAAAGTATGATGTGAGTTTATGTCGGGAGAGGTTAGGATATGATGTGTGAGATAAAGTGTGTAGTGAGTTTATGTCGGGAGAGGTTAGGATATGATGTGTGAGATAACGTTTGTATTGAGTTTATGTCGGGAGAGGTTAGGATATGATGTGTGAGATGTGAGTGAGTAAGAGTTAGGATGATAGTGAGTTTATGAGTTTATGTTTATGTCGAGAGGTTAGGATATGTGATGTGTGAGAGGTAATATGTGTGAGTGAGTTTATGTCGGGAGAGGTTAGTATGATAGTGAGTAAAGTGTGTAGTGAGTTTATGTCGGGAGAGGTTAGGATATGATATGTGAGAGGTAGGATATGATGTGTGAGATAAGTTTGTAGTGAGTTTATGTTAGAATATGATATGATATGAGTGTGAGATAAAGTGTGTAGTTTTATGTCGGGAGAGGTTAGAGTTTATGTATGATATGTGAGATAAAGTGTGTAGTGAGTTTATGTCGAGAGGTTATGTGAGGTAAAGTTGTATGTTTATGGGAGAGGTTAGGATATGATGTGTGAGATAAAGTGTGTAGTGAGTTTATGTCGGGAGAGGTTAGGATATGATGTGTGAGATAAAGTATGTAGTGAGTTTATGTCGGGAGAGGTTAGGATATGATATGTGAGGTAAAGTATGTAGTGAGTTTATGTCGGGAGAGGTTAGAATATGATGTGTGAGATAAAGTATGATGTGAGTTTATGTCGGGAGAGGTTAGGATATGATATGTGAGGTAAAGTATGTAGTGAGTTTATGTCGGGAGAGGTTAGGATATGATATGTGAGGTAAAGTGTGTAGTGAGTTTATGTCGGGAGAGGTTAGAATATGATATGTGAGATAAAGTATGATGCGAGTTTATGTCGGGAGAGGTTAGGATATGATGTGTGAGATAAAGTTTGTAGTGAGTTTATGTCGGGAGAGGTTAGAATATGATATGTGAGGTAAAGTGTGTAGTGAGTTTATGTCGGGAGAGGTTAGAATATGATATGTGAGGTAAAGTGTGTAGTGAGTTTATGTCGGGAGAGGTTAGGAGAGGTTGTAGTGAGTTTATGTCGGGAGAGGTTATATGATATGGAGGTAAAAAGTGTGTAGTGATGTCGGGAGAGGTTAGTAGTGAGTTTATGTCGGGAGAGGTTAGGATATGATGTGTGAGATAAAGTGTGTAGTGAGTTTATGTCGGGAGAGGTTAGAATATGATATGTGAGATAAAGTGTGTAGTGAGTTTATGTCGATAGAGGTTAGAATATGATATGTGAGGTAAAGTGTGTAGTGAGTTTATGTCGGGAGAGGTTAGAATATGATATGTGAGGTAAAGTGTGTAGTGAGTTTATGTCGATAGAGGTTAGGATATGATATGTGAGGTAATGTATGTAGTGAGTTTATTTCGGGAGAGGTTAGAATATGATATGTGAGGTAAAGTATGTAGTGAGTTTATGTCGGGAGAGGTTAGGATATGATATGTGAGATAAAGTGTGTAGAGAGTTTATGTCGGGAGAGGTTAAGATATGATATGTTTATTTCGGAAGAGGTTAGGATATGATGTGTGAGGTAAAGTGTGTAGTGAGTTTATGTCGGGAGAGGTTAGGATATGATATGTGAGGTAAAGTGTGTAGTGAGTTTATGTCGGGAGAGGTTAGGATATGATATGTGAGGTAAAGTGTGTAGTGAGTTTATGTCGGAAGAGAGGTTAGTTTGATATGTGTAGTGAGTTTATGTGAGAGGTTAGGATATGTATGTGAGATAGTGAGTTTATGTCGGGAGAGGTTAAGATATGATATGTTTATTTCGGAAGAGGTTAGGATATGATGTGTGAGGTAAAGTGTGTAGTGAGTTTATGTCGGGAGAGGTTAAGATATGATATGTTTATTTCGGAAGAGGTTAAGATATGATGTGTGAGGTAAAGTGTGTAGTAAGTTCATGTGGACAGAGGTTAGGATATGATATCTGAGATAAAGTGTGATGTGAGTTTATGTCGGGAGAAGTTAGGATATGATGTGTGAGATAAAGTGTGTAGTGAGTTTATGTCGGGAGAGGTTAGGATATGATGTGTGAGATAAAGTATGTAGTGAGTTTATGTCGGGAGAGGTTAAGATATGATATGTTTATTTCGGAAGAGGTTAGGATATGATGTGTGAGGTAAAGTGTGTAGTAAGTTCATGTGGACAGAGGTTAGGATATGATATCTGAGATAAAGTGTGATGTGAGTTTATGTCGGGAGAAGTTAGGATATGATGTCTGAGATAAAGTGTGTAGTGAGTTTATGTCGGGAGAGGTTAGGATATGATGTGTGAGATAAAGTATGACGTGAGTTTATTTCGGGAGAGGTTAGGATATGATGTGTGAGATAAAGTATGATGTGAGTTTATGTCGATAGAGGTTAGGATATGATGTGTGAGATAAAGTTTGTTGTGAGTTTATGTCGGGAGAGGTTAGGATATGATGTGTGAGATAAAGTGTGTAGTGAGTTTATGTCGGGAGAGGTTAGGATATTACATGTGAGACAAAGTGTGTAGTGCGTTTATGTCGGGAGAGATTAGGATATGATGTGTGAGATAAAGTATGATGTGAGTTTATGTCGGGAGAGGTTAGGATATGATGTGTGAGATAAAGTATGATGTGAGTTTATGTCGGGAGAGGTTAGGATATGATGTGTGAGATAAAGTATGATGTGAGTTTATGTCGGGAGAGGTTAGGATATGATGTGTGAGATAAAGTTTGTAGTGAGTTTATGTCGGGAGAGGTTAGGATATGATATGTGAGGTAAAGTGTGTAGTGAGTTTATGTAGGGAGAGGTTAGGATATGATATGTAAGGTAAAGTATGTAGTGAGTTTATTTCAGGAGAGGTAAGGATATATGAGATTTTTAGCTGTTTGTCGAGATGGACAATGGTCTTGTTTAAATGTAGTATTATGTTTTTTTTTTGTTATTCAGGAAAGCCTATCGCTGCGATATGTCACGGTGCATGGATGTTCTGTTCCGCCAAAATTCTGAAGGACAAGAAAGTTACATGCTTTGTTGCAATTAAAGACGATGTTGAAAACGCTGGGTAAGAATATTGGCACATAAAGGGTATATTTCTATTATGATCATGGTCTAGGATAGTAATCAAAGTAATAACATTATGGGAGTCCATGCAGCCCGTAGTGAGAGTATCGGCCAAGAAGGCTCTATCAAATGGATCATCTGATGGTCACTTTTCGTCAGCGCGTCCATGGACAAGTCTGTACAATATATATCATCAATCAGTCTATGGGTCCTATTTTCGTCATCCCATCACAGGTATATACCTACAACAGATTTTTGTGGCCATCGATCGAGGTCATACTTTTGACCAATTTTGACATAAAAAGCTCGTGGACATTATCTAATGAACCCCTCATGGCGAAGCGTCCTTCGTCCGTACATCCGTCCGTCCATGAACATGTTCCATATCAATCTATTTTGGCCAAATTTGGCCAGAAGCATCCTTGAGGGAAAGTTCACCAATTTTATCTAAGGTTGGGTGTGGTAACTAAGAACCCCACTGCGAAATTAAAATCATCATACATCTGTACACAAAATCCTTCTCTTACAGTTCTTCATATTCTTCTTGAATTTTAAGATGTGTTTATAGAACTGAATAAATTATTGAATTTTGTTTAATTTATTTTGATTGATTTGGATCCCCTTCGGCTACTTCTTATGTTTGAACAATTAATTGCTGTTGAATCATTGCTGAATCCTTGAAGGGTGAGACATCTGTATGAATAAGTTTAATTCATAATTTGTCTCCTTTGTGTCTAATTCTGTATTAGTCACTTGTGTTTATTTTGTACTCTATGTAGGATTGACAGTATTTTGTCGAGAATATCCTAAGGCAAACGTTGGCGAGCTGCTCCTGTCACCACAATCACCGACCCATCCATGCCTGTAACATGCCAGTGTGTTACAACAACAAAATTTGTTACAATAACATTTGTAATGAATTGGGTTATTGTCATGCTACAACGCCGTCCTTTAGGTCAAGGTTAATCAATTCTCGTCTTTTTGGTGAAAATTTCGAGTTTCAGTAGGACGAATTAACGAAATGGCACGAATCAACCACCTAATAAGGAGACATTGTTTTGTTCACAAAACAGTTTTACAGTTTTTACTGTTCTAGAGTACTTGAATATCACCTAGTGTATCTATATTTACCTTTGGTTTACTTACATTCGATAATTGTTATGATTCAGCATATTATATTTGGGTATTATATAGTAAGGATTATTCATATCAAATAGCTTTACAGTCCACACTTCAACATGACCGCAGACATACATTTTGACCCCAGCAGACATAAAAATCATTCGGAAACGTTATTCTAGAAATATGTTATCTGTCAAAAGATATTTGTTATTTGCGACCTTGAGTATGTCCGTATTACTAGATTGGACCCTGGGTAGAGTATTATGTACGTTATGTTCATGTTTAACGGCTTATCAAACGGAATGTCACATGTGACTAGCATGTATCTATTGTATTCACGATTCTATTGTTGTGGGGTGTGGGGGTTGAAAATCTGTTGTACAGGTGTCACCCTCCTACAGTTACTTAAGACGTTACTATGAGTACATTTGATACATGACACCTTTACGTCCATCCAACATTATCTATCTACCAAACCAGAATAATACATTTTAAGGAAACGTTAATGTTTTGTACATTGTAGAGCTCTGTATGAGGATTCTCCTGTCGTAGTGGATGGAAACATGATCACATCAAGACTTCCAAAGGATTTACCAGATTTCTGTAAAGCGATCATAAGTCAGCTGAAGAAGTAGAAATCAATATATGTCATTACATTGTGTTGAATTTCCAGCTATTCGAGTACTTGCTATTACAACAGATCATCAATCCTCGTTCTCATCAATATCAAACTTCATATATGTTACTGTTATAGAGTGCTGGACAAAACTGCATTTTACTGGCAAAAATAGTGAATGTCCATAAAAAGCTTAAGGAAAGGCATATATGAAATTTAATATTAAATTCATGAAAGTCTAGATGAATTATGTTGTGGAATTCCTACCTTGAAATATTCAGAGGAGTATTTTAAAGTGTTGATCGATAATACAAATTCATTTTTTATTGTCCATAAGGTTGAATAACGGAGCGATGTAGTAATTTTCTGTTATGAATAAATATAATTCATCTCTACAAACTTGCGTTATATTTGTTTGTTCGTTTGAAAAAAAACTAAAGACGGAATCAACATGTAGTCATTTTCCGTAAAGATAGAAATATAAACACACCGATTCGTGTGATAATAACACGTTTATTCTATTGTCTCTTGTCACATTACCTATTTTGCAATTTTTGCGAAATAAATCATATGAAGTGTTTTGATCTGTGTACGTCCTTGACGATAACGTAATCGGCAATTCATTGCTACGGATAGCGAGCTGCACCATGAACTACTTTGCTCTACATCAGATGACCTTTCGTTAACATGTTCAACGATAGAACTATGTTGTTCTACATCAGATGATCTTTTGTATACGTGCTCACTAAAAGAACTACTTTGTTCTACATTAGGTAGTCTTTTGTTTGCATGTTCACCAAAAGAACTACTTTGTTCTACATCAAGTAGCATTTTGTTTACATGCTCACCAATAGAACTACTTTGTTCTACATCAGGTAGCCTTTTGTTTACAAGCTCACCAAGAGAACTACTTTGTTCTACATCAGGTAGCCTTTTGTATACATGCTCACCAATAGAACTACTTTGTTCTACATCAGGTAGCCTTTTGTTTACATGCTCACCAGTAGAACTACTTTGTTCTACATCAGGTAGCCTTTTGTATACATGCTCACCAATAGAACTACTTTGTTCTACATCAGGTAGCCTTTTGTTTACATGCTCACCAGTAGAACTACTTTGTTCTACATCAAGGGACATTTCGTATAAGAACTATGCTGTCTTTCATCACTTTGACTTTTGTATATTAAGTATACAAAGTGATATGATTACTTCGTATGGTACGTTCGGTAGGTAAGACTGATTTACCATTAGGCTAGAAATTTTGCAAAAATATACAGCTAAACCATGAATTTGAAAATGCTATGATTATGATAAGTGATAATCAATACTTTTATACTTGTTATTGTTTAACGATATACTTCGTATTTTATTCAGGTAAAGGATCATTGTAGCAATATATCGAATAATCTAAAGTTAGTTTAAATTAGTTCAAATTTAAAAATTTAACAACTTAAGTTCTTGTCATTACATACATTTTAGGTGAACGTCGATCATTATAAACATTTTTATGATAATTATAAGCAGATATTGATGTAATTCATTGAGTCACTGAGACTAAGACAAAAATACATAAAACCGACAACACTGCCAAATATGTTCAAATATGAATAAAAGAAAGATTGACTCCTGTAACAACAATACATGGAGAGTAAGACAACATGTGCAGGAAGGATGTATTCAATATAACTCTTAGTCAATACAAACAACTAATGCCAGGAACATATCTATAAGTCTATATATACTGACAGAATAAATAAGCTGTTTAGAAGTAACTTAATAAGCGTTAGAGGTCATAATTCAGGTAAAAATCTCTCACCGTGATTGACAGCTGATACGAAAAGGCGTCGACGTTATTCTTCAGTTATCATTAAGTCACGTGGAACGTATGTGTATATACTCTGCTGAAGTAAGAGTATATTAATTGCATATAAGGGTCAAAATGTTTTATCCAACATAAGTTGGAATTTTGAATTCACCTTATTTACTATTTTTGTTGTAATATATCACTTTTCTAAAAGTATTTTTAAAATGGGTTTAATTGATCGCTGCCAAATTTATAAAACGGCCCTTAATCGTTTTTTAAATCATTTGTTTTACTTATCATATCATAGTTATATATTTAAAATCAAGATCTGCTGTTTAATATTAATCTGTTATCAATAACGCTGTACGGAACCACACTATATAGAACAAACGTGTATGGGAAACCCGTTGTGGTCAGAGCCTACACTATTGTAGGTTACTCTATATGGCATATTTCCACCATCCTTGATACTACAAAGGTTACCGTCACTTTCGCTCTCTGCAAACCTGGAACATGTCATGGCAAAATTGAAGGGTCCATGTACATTGTGAACAAGACAAAAAGACTAGTTTTATCTTTTAATGTACATTAAACGAATCTCGAGGTCGCACAACGGTATTAAGAAATGCCTTTGAAGTTGAGTGTCGCTCCTTTGTTATCTTCAAAAAGAACATATCAGCCTGTGAACGGTCAGATTTTTTCTCCTGGAATCAATCATATTACTTCGCTTGTGCCTTCAATTTTGCCATGACATGTTCCAGGGGTGCAGAGAGCAAAAGTGATCTTTACCCCTGGAGATGTATTCTCTCAAGAACTGAGAGCAGTTTTATCATATAAAATCAACTGTAAAGATGGGAATATATAATGAAGATTTATATTACAGATATCTGTTATGAAGAAGACGACTATTAATCTCCGTGGTAATATTTCCTAATTTCATATTTGAAGTTTTAAGATTCTGTTGACCTGCTGATAATCCGTTTGTTGGTTTATTTCGTGTTCATGACCACGTGTTGTCGCGCGTGATTTACCTTATCTCTGTACAACCTAGTAGATAACGTAATCAACTACGCTTTCCCACTGATTACGTAATGCAGAAATGTTAACTACATTTTATAACATCACGTGTCTTATATACAGAGTGCGATACATTTTATCATATCACAACAGATGATTTCATTCTACGCTGTTGATGTATGTATTACTTAAAAAACATGATCAATAGTTGTTGTGATTACATTACTGTTATCTATTAAGAAGGAAGTATGAAGATTATTACAAACTGTACTATATCGTGTTTTGATATTAAAAAAAAAATTTTTTTTTTACTTGTAGTTTACAAAAATAGATTGAAATCCATGTTCAATATATCCTTCCATTTCTTGGGCAAAGTTTAAATTAGTAAAATACAGTTGAAAGTTGTACGATAGCTCCAAGACAGTTGAATCAATTGTTGAAATACAATGAGAAGATTTTCTAATCCAATACTTCTACATGCATCATACAATTGTTTCGTCCTTCTCGGACTCATCAGTGATGGTACATATACATCATACATCTGTTTCGTCCTTCTTGAACTCATTAGTGATGGTACATATACATCATACATCTGTTTCGTCCTTCTTGGACTCATCAGTGATGGTCATATACATCACACAGCTGTTTCGTCCTTCTTGGACTAATTAGTGATGGTACATATACATCATACAGCTGTTTCGTCCTTTTCGGATTCATCAGTGATGGTACATATACAACATACAGCTGTTTCTTCCTTCTCGGACTCATCAGTGATGGTACATATACATCATACATCTGTTTCGTCCTTCTCGGACTCATCCGTGATGGTACATATACATCATACAGCTGTTTCGTCCTTCTAGGACTCGTCAGTGACGGTACATTTACACCATACAGTCTGTCTCAGTCTCGTCAGTGATGCCAAAGGCCTACAATTTGAAGGCTAGGAGGCGACAGAGGAAAATCGAAACTGATCGAAACAAAAGGCAAAATCTGGATGAAGAGGTGCAGCAGTATCAGATTTGTATGAGACGTTTCAATGATCACACGGTCACTTTCTTCAGTCAAATTATATTGTTATGATAATTAAGAATAACAAACATCAGTGTTTTATGATTCAATTACGTATACATGTATTTTTAAAGTTAAAATGATTTGTGAACGTCACAGTTATTTGTGAAACATCACAGTTATTTGTGAAACGTCACAGTTATTTGTGAAACATCACAGTTATTTGTGAAACATCACAGTTATTTGTGAAACGTTATTTGTGAAACATCACAGTTATTTGTGAAACGTCATAGTTATTTGTGAAACGTCACAGTTATTTGTCAGTTATTTGTGAAACATCACAGTTATTTGTGAAACGTCACAGTTATTTGTGAAACGTCACAGTTATTTGTGAAACATCACAGTTATTTGTACACTTATTTGTGAAACATTACAGTTATTTGTACAGTTATTTGTGAAACATCACAGTTATTTGTGAAACGTCACAGTTATTTGTACAGTTATTTGTGAAACATCACAGTTATTTGTACAGTTATTTGTGAAACGTCACAGTTATTTGTGAAACGTCACAGTTATTTGTGAAACATCACAGTTATTTGTACAGTTATTTGTGAAACATTACAGTTATTTGTACAGTTATTTGTGAAACATCACAGTTATTTGTACAGTTATTTGTGAAACGTCACAGTTATTTGTACAGTTATTTGTGAAACATCACAGTTATTTGTACAGTTATTTGTGAAACGTCACAGTTATTTGTGAAACGTCAGAGTTACTTGTGAAACATCACAGTTATTTGTACAGTTATTTGTGAAACGTCACAGTTATTCGTGAAACATCACAGTTATTTGTACAGTTATTCGTGAAACATCACAGTTATTTGTACAGTTATTCGTGAAACATCACAGTTATTTGTACAGTTATTTGTGAAACGTCACAGTTATTTGTGAAACGTCACAGTTATTTGTGAAACGTCACAGTTATTTGTGAAACGTCATAGTTACTTGTGAAACATCACAGTTATTTGTGCAGTTATTTGTGAAACATCACAGTTATTTGTAAAACGTCACAGTTATTTGTGAAACGTCATAGTTACTTGTGAAACATCACAGTTATTTGTACAGTTATTTGTGAAACGTCACAGTTATTTGTGAAACGTCACAGTTATTTGTGAAACATCACAGTTATTTGTACAGTTATTCGTGAAACATCACAGTTATTTGTGCAGTTATTCGTGAAACATCACAGTTATTTGTGAAACGTCACAGTTATTTGGGAGTATTATGATTGGAATAGATGGGATACAAATTACAAATACAAAACAGATGAATTTTATTTTCTGTGAAGCATTACGTAAAATTAACATTAAATAAATTCAATCAAATAAATGAATTAAAGAACTGTTTTAAAAAATTAACTTATAAATAGAGAAATGATATAGAGACTTTATCAAGGTTAAACATGAAAACAAAACACGGTATGCATGATTCACATTAGTTATATGTAAAAAAGGAATGTTCAGTTTGTCAACAGAATGATGATCCCATCTCAAATTTGATAAAACCTG